TTTTTTTTTTAAGAGAGAGAGAGAGAGAATTTTTTAATATTTATTTTTTAGTTTTTGGTGGACACAACGTCTTAAATTTTTAGTGGTGCTAAGGATCATACCCGGGTCCCGCCTGTGCGAGGCGAGCGCTCTACCGCTAAGCCACAATCCCAGCCCCAATTTCCTTAAGTTTTTAAACATAGACAGAAAACAATGGAATGGAGGGGAAGCTGTACATTACTAGCACGAGACTACACAAGACCACCTATGCGGAAGGAGGCACAGGTACTTGCAGCAGAAGTCACCAAGAAAAGAACAGAGGAACTACCAGCCATCTCATTAAAGAGCCAGTTTCACTAAACTTTTCTTATTTGCTCATGATCTATCAAAATATACTTGTCTCAACGGCAGGGTAGAGCATGCCTGTAATCCCAGCTGCTCAGGATGCTGAGGCAGGAGGATTTTTGAGTTTAAAAAAAAGCATGGTGCTAAGCAACTCAGTGAGACCCTGTCTCTAAAATATATACATAAAACTGTGTACTGCCCAGATATTTTCTTTTTTTTTGTCATATATATATGTGTGTGTGTGTGTGTGTGTGTGTGTGTGTACTGGCCATTTCTTTTTTTTCTTTTTCTTTTTTTTTTTTTTTTTTGGATACTGAGGATTAAACCCAGGGGCTCTTAACAACCAAGGCACATCCCCAGCTCTTTGTTTTGTATTTTATTTAGAGACAGGGTCTCACTGAGTTACTTAGGGCCTCACTAAGTTGCTAAAGCTGGTTTTGAACTCACTATCCTCCTGCCTCAGCCTCCTGAATTGCTGGGATTATAGGTGAGAGCCACCACACCAGGCCTCTGCTCAGACCAAAGAAATCTTTGGTTATCTAATGTAGTCAAATCTTTTCTTGCAAAAAAAAAAAAAAAAAAAAAAACCTTGATTTTTTTTTTTTTTTTTTGAAAAGAAGAAAAGTAATAGATAAACCATAATACCTATAATTGCTGTAGGGTAAAATCCTGAGGTAGAAGAAATATGGAAAAATAATGGTTCAGGCAGAAATTAAGCATCTCCTGAAATATCTGGCTGATATAGAATTTGATCATGTATTTTATGAACTGATTATGGTATCAAATTGATGTTCCAATAGGTATATTTAAAATACTGATGTGGCCATTTTGCTTTTTAAAATGTCCTATGTTGGGATGTGCATCTTTGCTACTTGAATTTTTATAAAAATACAGTAGGTGACAACTTTAAAATGTGTGAAATTTCCAAAAATCCTTTTATGTGGACCCAAGCAGGAAAGAGGTGGGGTGGTGATACAGCCATTTTAGGGAGGACCTTGTTGTGGTGACATTTTCTTCCCTGACCCACCAGTCTCCCAGTTTGCATCAGTTCAGACACATGACAGGCTAGGGCCCTGTGGAGACACTTAAAAGAAAAAAGAAAAAAAAAAAAAAAGCGTGTGTTTTACTGAATTTTATTTAAAAATTTCCTTGCTGGAGACAATGGTACAAACTCTCAATACTTCTAATTCTCACAACAGCTCAAAGAATCATTATTAATCCTTTTTTTTTTCTTTTAATAAATAAGAAAAGTCAAAGCAAGAAAAAGATAAGCCGTGTCCCTTCCAGTATGAAAGCTTCATGCCAAAATGCTTTTCCTGAAGCACAATGGCACTCCTTAAATAAATGCCATGAATGTGAAGAAAAGAATTCAGTTACTAACACTTCACAGAAAATCATGCGGCCAAAAGGGGAGGCAGTTACATTTGCTCAAAACAAGGTAATTCCGTTCCTCTAACCTCCCCCCACCACTAAGGGTGAAAGCTGCTGGCAGCTGTGGTCACTTACTAACCCAGCTCGCGCACAAAGCGCTGCGGTGATCCGCCAGCCTCCACGTCCCTCTCGTCCAGCACACTGTCATTGCAGGATCTTTCCAGGCAAACATCCTACCGGGATGTACTTTGCTTGAGGATAAAGATGTCTGATGCGGGCAGGGATGGAAAGGTGGTATGGCGCCACCGCCAGGCAGCGTTACAACACCCAAGGCCTCCGCAAACTCGTGGTCTGGCGTACCCATGGTCTCGCCAAGGGAACACAGGGTAGAAGACCGACGCTAGAGCCTTCTGGGGGAAGTGACGCCCCTCATCTGCACGCCTGCTTTTTCGCAAGGGCACCATTTCCACCGTTCCTCTACAATGGGCTGTTACATTCCCACACTCCGCTCACTCACTGGCGGGACGCACCCAGTAACTGGGAATCGCTAAGGTGTATAGGTAAAACATAGGGTTAATAACCCATCACCGTGTTTGAAACCCTTTCTCGACTGTGTGGGTGGCTCTGAAAAGAGCCTTTGGGTTCGGGGCGCCAGGGACGCGCCTCACTTGGAGCTGGTGTACTTGGTGACGGCCTTGGTGCCCTCCGACACAGCGTGCTTGGCCAGCTCCCCGGGCAGCAGCAGGCGCACAGCCGTCTGCACCTCGCGGGACGTGATGGTCGAGCGCTTGTTGTAGTGCGCTAGGCGGGAGGCCTCGCTGGCGATGCGCTCAAAGATGTCGTTGACGAACGAGTTCATGATGCCCATGGCCTTGGACGAGATGCCCGTGTCGGGGTGCACCTGCTTGAGCACTTTGTACACGTAGATGGAGTAACTCTCCTTGCGGCCGCGCTTGCGCTTCTTGCCGTCCTTCTTCTGCGCTTTGGTCACGGCCTTCTTGGAGCCCTTCTTGGGGGCCGGAGCGGACTTGGATGGGTCTGGCATGATGGCGGGTCTCCTCTGAAAGACTCCAGAGACGACCACAACAACTCTATTTGTACGCCTTGAATTCAAATGAAGGATCAAGAACTACTCGCTTCTGGTTGGATAGAACGTCGCCCTACGTCATCGCTCGGAAAGACTTACGCAAATTAGGGGGGGCGGGAAATGCTGGTGTCCTTTTCTGATTGGCTATTGATGCCATCCTATCAGACGGTGCTTTTTAGCCTACCTCCGGATCGTATATAAGGGCTCGCTGGGGCCTGTAGTCCTGATATCCCCTGTTGCATTTTTCGACTTCTTCTCTGCGTTAGAAATGTCTGGCCGCGGCAAGCAGGGTGGCAAGGCGCGCGCCAAGGCCAAGTCCCGCTCCTCGCGCGCGGGCCTACAGTTCCCTGTGGGCCGCGTGCACCGGCTGCTGCGCAAGGGCAACTACTCAGAGCGCGTGGGAGCCGGCGCACCGGTGTACCTGGCTGCCGTACTCGAGTACCTGACGGCCGAGATCCTGGAGCTGGCGGGCAACGCGGCCCGTGACAACAAGAAGACGCGAATCATCCCCCGCCACCTGCAGTTGGCCATCCGCAACGACGAGGAGCTCAACAAGCTGCTGGGCCGCGTGACCATTGCGCAGGGCGGCGTCCTGCCCAACATCCAGGCGGTGCTTCTGCCCAAGAAGACAGAGAGTCACCACAAAGCCAAGGGCAAGTGAGGCCCTGCCGCCTGTACGCGCCCCGTGGACACCAAAGGCTCTTTTCAGAGCCACCACTGATTCTAGAAAAGAGCCGCTTTGAGCTCGCAGCCTTTTGGCCTGGGGCGGGGTCCCCTTGGATTCCTTTAAGAGCATTAGTGCGCATTAGTCAAAGCAAAGGGCTCAAACTGGGACCATGGCCCAAGGGAGGGACACGCACGTGCGCGAGGTGGGCGATGGGCTTCTGCTAGAGGCCGGGAAAACCGCCGGACCTGTCCATTTGCTTGCGAATACAATCTCAAACTCGTGGGGCTTTATCCTCTCCTTAAGTGTCCCCAGAATTACCAATGACAGGTACTTGGGATTCCAAAAAAGTCAAGATTGCGTTTTTTTCTCCTAGGGACAATTGGGTCAGTTCATCTGATATTAAGTGTATTACACTTTAATAAAATTTGCCATTTGGAATTCTGATAGGTGAATCTTGGGGTTTCCACTTGGAACGAGAGTGAACCAGTTAAAATAGATAAATTTTAACAAAACAAAGTCCACCAAAATCAGGATCTAATTGAACTGGGATTTCAAAAGGTTTTGGTAAAGGGTTTGTTTGCTAGACCTGTTCTCAATACTGGAAAAGAACCAAGTTGTTGGTCTTAAAGGATGTGTAAACATTTTTAAGGTTTATTCATGAATGGGTAAAAGGAATTAAGTTTTATTTTAAATCTGAGTTGGTCAAACGTTGAAGATTCACTTTTGCTTAAGTCAGAACAAAATTTGTACACTGAATTAGGTTTCTGAGTTTAGCATATTTAAATTTACATTTTAATAAACAGCAAATTAAAACTGCTAGTGACAGATAAAGGAGCACTTGTGTGGACTTTTTGGAAGATTACTTCATTATCTCCACTTTTTATTAAAAAGGAGGACTGGAAAGCTCCAAGCAAATTGGACAGAAATGGCCATTCTAATAGCACCTACCTAATAGAGGGGACTAGGTGAGCTCTGTCATGATCTATCAGGATCCCTTGAATGATGCGTGCCACAAAAATCAAAGCTCAGTAAATGGTACCTTTTTTTCCTTGTTATTACCTGTACTGTTTCTGTTAATTTTATTATAACAATAAATACAAGCCAGCAATGCAATTCAGGAATATTATGTATTATACATTATATAATTTTGCACACAATATGTATTTATCCTACTAAAACTGGATCTGCTCAAACCAGGGCTCTCTAGATACCATCTGTGGAGCTACTCACAAATCTGCTTACCTTTACAAAATATCCCAGTGTGGGAAACTAGTGCATAAAAATTGATAAGGAGCTGCTCTAATAGTATGGTTTTCAGCAATAAAATATTCACAGAAAGTATGTAGTTCATGCAACATGTGTATATGCCCTACTTCAGTAAAACGGGCTGCAAAGACTGATCTTCCAGAGATTCCTCACATGTTTCTAGTGATAGCCTGCAATTCTAACTGTATGTATTCATGACTCTGTGGGTCTCAGTGGCATTTAAGTGGCATTTTTTAATGATTTTGTTTAAATGAATGACAGCGGAATGCATTACAATTCTTATTACATAGATACAGCACAATTTTTCATATCTCTGGTTAAATATAAAGTATGTTGACACCAATTCGTGTCTTCATACATGTACTTTGGATGATGATATCTATCACATTCTACCTTAAGTGGCATTTAACAAGAAACTTTCAGGGACTGGGATGTAGATATTTCAAGTATCACCATGGATTTTCACATCTACATAAAATTACTCAAATGAGTTATTAAGAGGGCAGCAATGGCGGTGGTCTACTCAGGGTAGCTTTTCATCTTTTGCCACTAAAACTGAACCATCCAGTACACAGCAACAAGCCACAGGGCTGTTTATTTTCAATTGATTAAGATTTAATGTAAATGAGTAATTTCATTTGAGCTCTAGCTTTGCATGGCCAGCAGGTACCATGTTAGAAAGCAGAGATAGAAGATGTTTCCATCATCACAAAAAGCTCTGATTGGTCAGCTCCTAAGATCTGGGGATCTATCAGATTATCAGTTTCAGAAATGTAAAGAACTACCTGTCTCTCTAAGAGAACACTTATTAGATTCTTGTAAAAGGAAGAAAGCACCACATGACCAGCAAATCATTTCTAGGAATATGCCCAAGAGAAATGAAAATATGCACCCAACAAACACTTGTACTTAAATGTTCACAGCAGCATTGTTCACACTGTCTGGAAGGCAGAAATAACTGATGAATGGGTCAACAATAGTGACCTTATCCTCACTGTAGAAAATTACTTGTCATTAAAAAGGAATGAAGCACTGATTCATGCTACAACATAGATGAACCTCATACATTGCGCCAATTAAGTCAGACACAAATACACACATATTGTATAATTCCATTTACATGAAGTGTCCAGAACAGGCAAATTCAGAGAGGCAGCAAGCAGATTAGTTGCTTGGAGCTGGAGGAAGGGGAAGAGTAACAGGGACTGCCTAATGGGTACAGGATCCTTGGTGGTGATGAGAATGTTTGGGAACCAGGATGAGATGACAGTTGCACAACACTGTGAATTTCCTGGAACTGTTCAGTTAAAAATGGTTCACCATGCGTCACATGAATTTCACCTCAATTTTAAAAAATCTGATCCTGATAACTGAATGTGTATGAAATAATAAAAAGAACAAGGAGGACCAAAGAAGAGAAAAACAGATAGAGGAGCCCTGGAAGGGCCAGGTACAAGTAGACCAGATGTCTAAAAGGAAGAGGGGTGGGAGGAATGCTTTTTAGGTAGAAGGCTTTCTAGGTGGAATGAAGTAGCGCCGGTGCTGCTCCTGCCATCACCTGGAGACCACTTATAAGGCGGGACATTGAATCATTCTGGGTGGTCACAGCAGATACCTCTGGACGTGCCCATGTGCAGCTCACTTCTGCTGGGCCAGCCCACTTCTGTGTCTGTAGGAGCAAGGAGGCCTCTCCAGGCCCACTGTCCCTGCATACACATCTTCGTCAGGATTAGCTCAGTCCCTCCACACACCTCCCTAGGGCAGGCATTTTATTAAGGAAGTTAAGAAAAAGAAGTATGAGGTTCCAGAAGAAGAATGCAGCCTGGGGCAGACTCAGAGACACCCCTAGAGACAGTTTGTGTCATGTGGGGCTCCAGCCTGGCTTTGCTGTGTCTGTACCCTCTCCAGGTGTGGGTCTGTCCCCCTCCAGCCCTAATGTTAGACTGTTCTGCTGGGTCTGTCCTTGCAGCCTCATCCACATAACCAATAATCTCCTATCTCAAAAATGAAAAGTAAAGCCCACCATAGGAAGCAATTGCACTTCTGGGCACATATCCAATGGAGATGAAGTGTGTGTGTGTGTGTGTGTGTGTGTGTGTGTGTGTTCAAGAGACACCTGCACTCCTGTATTTACAGCAGCACTGTTCACAACAGCCAAGATAGACAATCCTCTGTGTGCCCACCAAGGAATGAATAACACTGAAAATGTGATGTCCAGACAGTGGAAGGAACACCATGCAGCCTTTAAAAAGGATGGAACCCTGACATCTTTGACCACATGGATGAACCCAGAGGACATTACAGTTGTCCTCAGTACTCACAGGGGACTGACTTCAGGATCCTGTAGATACCAAACCTTAAGTATGGTCACAACCCTTATATATGATAGCATGCCATTTGTGTCTAACCTAAAATCTTTAAGTTATCTAGGATGACTTCTAGTACATAATAGAATGTAAATGCTATGTAAGTATTTGTTCTGCTGTATGGTTTAAGAAACCGTGACCAGGGCTGGGGTTGTAGCCCAGTAGTAGAACACCTGCCTAGCATGCGTGAGGCACTGGGTTTGATTCTCAGCACTGCATATAAATAACTAAAATAAAGATCCATTGACAACTAAAAAATATTAAAAAGAAATCATGACCTCCCCCCCAAAAAAGACTGTACCCCCCCCCAGCTCCTGCGCACCAAAAAAAGACCACACATTTTTAGGGCAGACACAATTTTAAAAAAATGGTTTTTGATCTTAGATTGGTTGAACCTGCAGATGTGAAGGGCCAGCTGTACACAAGTGGAATACTACTCAGTCGTAGAAAAGAAGGGAATCCTCTTTTCCTGACATGGATGAACCTGGAGGACCTTATGCCAAATGAAAGAAGCCAGGCACAGAAGGACGGCTACCACATGGTCTCTCTTGGACTCTGCAGCTAAGCCATCCCTGATCCTCCAGCTGTGGAATGTAGAAGCCAAAGTCCCAGAAGCGGAGCAGAATTGTGGCTATGGGGCTGGAGGGGATGGTGCCAGGGAGATGTTAAAATCCCCCTATGAAGAAAACACTGACCACTCACCTCCTCCCAACTTCTGGGTCCCCATGGGCTCTGACTTATAGTGTCATTTAGCTGACACCAATTCTCCAGAAAGACATCCGGCTGTGTTGAGCTTAGCATCTCCCCTTGGTGCCTCATCTGTCCTGTAGCAGTGATCCTGAGTTGCCTTGGTCCCCAGAAGCCTCTGTGTCCTGGGTATAACTCAGCAAGCCCTGGGCCACACAGCAAGGAGGCTCTCCCTGGCCCAGGAAGAGGTCCACAGCCACACTGATCATGCCTCTAGCCATGCCCCCTTCCCTACAGGTGCCTGCCATCTCACTGCCTGGCTGCAGCTACCCCTGCTCAGGTGGCTGGGATGCCAGGTCCCCCTGCTGCTCAGTCAGGCTCTGGACGTTGGAGGTGGGAGCTGCTTCTCCTGGAGGGCTGCCCTTGGACCCCAGGCCACCTCCCTGGGGCCTGGGCTCTGGCCTCACTCTCAGCCCAGGGCAGAACTCTTCCAGTTGGTGGACAGACTAATGCTGGTTTATGGGCATTTGCTGCCCACTGGAGGAAGACAGTCAGTGATGGTCAAGTGTGGGTCAGCTGGGGGATGAGGGATGGGTCAGCTGGAAGGTCAAGGATAGGTGAAATGGGGGGTCAGGATGAATCAGTTGGGTGTTCAAGGATGTCAGTTGGCAGGTCAGGATTGGTCGGGAGGACTGGTCATGTGGAAGGTCAGGTAGAAGGTTAGGATGGGTCAACTAGGAGATCAGGGATGGGTCAGCTGAGGGATCAGGTATTGGTCAACTGGAGGATGAGGGATGAGTCAGTGGTTAGTTAGTAGTTTGGGCTCAAGGAACCCCAAGGCCCCATCTGGACTCTACACTATCCTTCACGGAACACTGGGGATCGTAATAAGTCATAGGCCAGCTGGGCTGATGTTGAGAGCCATACGCCTGAGGTAGGACTGGCCAGCATTACTGCCACTCACCTCAGGCTCTGGTTGATCCTCCCTGATCCTCCACTTTTCTTGTGGTCTTATCTAGACCATGGCCTCTCCCCAGAGCCAGGCTTCACCTGTGCCACTCACTTCTCCCAGCACCAGAATCACTGAGTCACATCCCATCCCTGCCTTCCCCAGCCCTTAAAC